TGGTGCCCTGATATGAGAGTTTGTTTCGGACTCGCCAGAATTATAAACATCATGGATGGATTGACTGTGTATTGCAGACTTGCAGTCCAAAGACCGCACATACTCGGTAATTATGGGGGTGAAAAAAATCTTGTCAAGCCAGTCCATAATTCCATGGACACAAAACAGGACCCCTGATAATCCCTATGAAGGCCTGCCTTCAGGAGTTTCAAGGACCGCGTCAATTGAATGCAAAAGTTCCGGTAAAGGCAGCGAGGTCGATTTTTTCAAAAACTCGCACTCCAGTTTCATGTGCAACACACTGTAGACTCGTATACGTCTATAGGCAGTAATAAAGTCACTTCTGAGGGTTGCAACGGAAATCATGTAGATTAACCGCTGTGTGTTTGGGACCTCGTCGATCATCCCTTGCTATGACCGCTCAGGTGCGCCATTCGACTGGCGCTCTTTGAGAACTCAAATTTGACAAGTAGAATAGATAATACAATAGATAATACAATAGCTTATCTTCCGGCCCCTGTGCAGTCCACTCGGCCTTCAGAACTTCACATGCTTTAAGTAAGCGATGCTTCCGTGGCTCTTTGCGACGGCGTAGTAAGGAGTAAAATATCCTGTCACACGTAGAACTAGCGTCACCGCGCACTCCGCCTCCAATGCCGGCTGAGAAAAAAAATCCGCCCCTGAAACGTCAACGTGCTTCGCGGAGGGTCCAGAGAGAAGAAAAAGAATATAATCATTGGCTGATATAACTATTAGTATGTGTCCCTAGGATGAATAAATAACGAAGAATGGTTACGAACCCGTGCAACTTGATGATCTGATCTGATAGTCGTATAAACTTGAACATAAGAAATATAGGAACGCTCGCACTGTGCACGACGCACGTGTCAGTACTTCAGTAGCTGCGTCATGGCTCGTCAGTGCCGCATCAATGGCGCGTCATGATTCAGACTGCTACATCACATAGGTTCGCTTCATTCAACGAGGGACATGCGGTCCCTACAAGCTGAACTTGGCTTCCCAAGGTGATATTTTGTTCCACACCAAATCGCCGGTAGTTGCTTCACGAGATAGATCTTGTCAGGTGGCAGTATACTTGGATTTGGCCTCGCTCCGGAAGGTGACATCTTGTTCCACGCCAAATCGCCAATAGACCTTGCTTCACGGGGTAGATGTTAGGTAGCAAGGCTGGTATATCAGTTCGAAAGAGGATTTCAAGCGGACTCAGTTCTCCCATATAAAGAACATAATTCAGCACGCAAAGGTGGAGAGGTGTCTTCCTACTTTGCCCTTCAGATACTTCTAAGCCCATATTGTCCTCACGAACAATGCGTTTCTGCCTTGCCCTCGCCACCGCTGTTGTTTTGACAGCGTCAATATCTGCTGTTAACGCTCAGGAAAATGATTGTCCTTTATTCTGTTTTAGTCATTGGGAGTGCAGACACTGCGAGGATGGGCCGAGCTGCGTGAGTACGAGTAGTTTGTATTTAAACAAATAACTCACAAGTGTGGTAGCGATTCCTGTCATGCGTCACGCCGTAATACGACTAGTGAAGCGATAGGATGCTCGACATTGGAGGTGGGTTAAGGATTTTAGAAGTGAAATTTGGGGTGATCATGCAGTAGCAACCTAATATTTACTTTCTTTGGAGAGGTTGAGAAGTCGAAGTCTTGGCGACTAAGGCGGCGGCATGCGTCGAGTTTCAGAGGGGAATGATGATTAGATAGAGGAAGCGTACGTGTTTGTTAAACGTTAAGACGAGAGATGGAAATGCGAAACTTTTGCTACATAAATCTTTTCATTTCTACTGACCAAGCGGTGGTAAGATTTGTTTCATCCTCACTTCCGACTGTGATAAGAGGTAAGAATATGTGTCTCTTGTACATCCCCTCAAACTTACCAGGCTTGTATTCTCATCACACTAGCTCGTGGCTTCCAATGCAATACGGCCACAATGCGCAACTATGTTGCATCTTCACCCGCTCTATATCCTCGCGTTTTCTGTTCTCAGCTCTCCTTCGAGGTGCGTCCTTCCAGACTAGGCACTATTAGTGATGTCGACACAACTGCGAGTCTCCCATGTACACCTGAGTATTGCTGGCATTGAATCTCCTTCTCCTTATGGCACTCCAGAGTTTCGTTTCGGGTTTCGGGTCATGAAACTAGTGACCAGCATTGTTCCATCAGGAGAAAAGTGCAGGGAGTAGACACCGGTGTGGGCTTTGATTAATTTGATGTGAGCTCGCCCTCGCGATCAGTGCTGGCTCATCACGTGACACCGTCAATGCCGAAGGTGGACGCCTCCTTTTGATGCCCTTTCAAAACAAACGCCCAGCTCCAAGTCCCACATGTGTTACGTTTACAGCATTCTGAAACGAGGTGACATGCGTTCCCTACAAGCTGAACCTGGCTTATTAGCCCTCGTTGCGAGTTAGCTTCCCAAGGTGATATTTTGTTCCACACCAAATCACCGGTAGACCGTGACATTGCTTCACTTGTCAGGTGGCAGTATGCTTGGCATTGACCTCGCTTCGAAAGATCACATCTTGCTCCACAAGGTAGATGTCAGGTGGCAATCGGCTGGTATATCATATCGAAAGAGGATTTCAGGTAGACTTGGTTCTCCTACACATTCAGCACGTAAAGAGGTGTCTGCCTACTTTCCCTTTTAGATTTTTCTGAGCCCATACAATGCGTTTCTGCCTTGTCCTTGCTGTTGTTGCTGCTTTGACAGCGTCGATATCTGCCGCTGACGCTGAGACTGAATACTGTCCTTTCATCTGCTGGTCTCATTCACAGTGCACAGAGTGTTCTGTCGGGCAACGTTGTGTGAGTATGCGTAGTCTTTATTTAACCAAATAACTCACTGGCGTGGTAGGCCTTGTTGACATGCATCCCGTGAAACGATGGGATGCTTGACTCCCATTGGGGTGGGATAAAGACTTTGATGGCGGCAGAGGTGAAGTTTAGGGCGATCAGATGTTTACTTTCTTTGGAGAGGTTGAGAAGTCGGAGTCCTAGTGACCAAGGCAAATCTCCCAACCAGCCGTTTTAACACTTTGCTTGTGGGAGTAACGGTCCCAATTCGAGAGCATTCATTTATGCTTTGACGATATTCGCATTAATATTGTATCCTGCATGTATATATATGCATACACAGATACCTTTCCTTCAGAGCAGACGTTGAAGACCATATTTTCATCGGGCATTGCCTCTCCGTCCTACTTCACATCCACCTGCATTGATGCTCAGGTTCAATTTGTGTTGACAAGCATGATAGTAGCATTCTTCGCGCACCGCGCCTCGTTGCTTCCCTATTGAATATCGTGATTATGCATATCAGATCAACTCCCAAGGAACTTATTAAACGAGTAAAACGCAGGCTACGAAGAAATCAGCATTCACTCATTAACACATCACAAAAGCCTAAAAATGCACTTACCCACATCCGAGTCCGTGACTCCCCTGCAATAACAGGCAACCACGCGTTATCGCCCTCATGGAACGTCCACGCTGTTTGGGAGGGAAAGACGACGCGTCGGAGTGAAGGACACGCGTTCTGCCATGATCGACAGAGTGAGAGTTCTTCGGCGCTATTACTCAGCCCGGTATGATCTACATGCGTAGGCGAGAGGTCGAGCGTAGAAAGATTACGAAACGCGCCGAGAAGGTGTGAAAGCGCTGCTAATAAGCCCTACGACGGAAAAACACAATCATTAATAAATGTCTTCGAAAATCGAGACTGCAAAACAACAACCCAATAAGAAATAAACTCACGATACCTGCAAAATGTAAAGTATGCCTTAGAGCAAGCCTCACTTTCAACGACTCGACTGTATTAAGATTTCTGGATAAATTTCGTAGTAATGTCGGTGTAACCAACATGGATGACAAATCCAGGTGGCAGAGAGGGACGCTTGTTAGGGCCATTTGAGACAGATCTAGGTCTGGGATGTAGTCCTGTCCTATGAGTACGAGAGATTGTACGGGTCTTCCGGGTAGGATTGCGGCGGCTACGCGTGGCGAGCCGGAGAATGATATGAGAGATGGGATGGCTTGAGGGAGAAGGGTGATCGGATCGTGATAGTCGGGAAGACGGAGATGTCGTGCAGCAGGGAGAACGTGGAGAAAATTAATGAGACGGTTGTGGGTAAAGGGGCCGATACCGCTGAGAGAGACGCGTCGGAGGGAGTGATAACACGCATCGGTAGCAGGGAATGTGAAAGAAGTTGAAGTTGGGTGTTCTGGGAGAGATGGCAGGCCGAGATGTAGGTCTAGGGACTCGAGGTTGGTTGCGATACCTATTGCTTGTGAGAGATTGGAAAGGATCATGTTGAAGTCAGGTTCGTGGTATGCACTGTGCTCTGATTTCCATCGGATATGGAGTTTGTGGAGTCCGCTGGCAAGATGTGAATGCAGACGAATGGTCTGGCAGCAGCGAAGGGTATTATATGGGAGTGGTGATGAGGCAGAGAAGGTCTCTGAGATGAAGATGTTTGAATAGAGCAGCCATTCTGCTACTCCCCTCCACTGGCGTGATACACGAGCAACAGCTGTTAGGACAGAAGGGGAAAGATCACGGCAGATAGCAGCAAGAGTCTCGTTTGGTAGGAATGAGGCCGAGTCTGCAGTTAAGGACTGTGCACCATTCAACTCAACAGGCATGGTGGTTGGGTTCATAGCACGTCGTAGTCAGGGTCATTGGTTGGGAAACGGGGATCCAAAGATACATCAAAAGTCGGTAAAACCACGGACATACTGATCGTCAGTGCAGGACCAAGGAGGAGATAAGTTTGGACTGACGGTGACGGATGATCCGGGCCACGTGCAGGTGACTTCAATTTCAAACATATAGGCTTAGGCGAGAGGAAGAGTTAAAATTACAGTACTGATACAGTATAAATAATAGTATAAAATCGAAAAAATGTCTATGCGCCGAAACCATACAGAGTACGCCCTGACCGCTTGAGTGCGTAAACAACGTCAAGGGCGGTAACGGTTTTCCGCTTTGCGTGCTCAGTGTATGTTACTGAATCACGGATGACCTGGGGAGAAACGTGAGTAGGCACATGGGTCTGTGTATGTACTGACGCACATTTTCAAGGAAGATCTTGAGAACACCACGAGTCTCCTCGTAGATGAGACCGGAGATACGCTTGACACCACCACGACGGGCGAGACGACGAATAGCGGGCTTTGTTATGCCTAGACATGCCAGTTAGATCAATGGCAAGCCAAAGTATCGGAGAATGACTCACCCTGAATGTTGTCACGAAGAATCTTACGATGACGCTTGGCACCACCCTTTCCGAGACCCTTGAAGAAAAATAAGACTCGGATTAAAATATATGAATCTGGTCTTACCTTGCCACCTTTTCCACGGCCAGACATTGTGTTGAGTTAAGAGTAAAGTGTAATGGGGCGCGTGAGCTTGTTGAGTGAGAAGATACAGCGCCGGGATGAGCAACGACTGCTTTTATATGCATCAGCGGGTGGCTGTGCCGAATAACCGTATCCGGTTTGTTGATTGACCTTTCACGTGACAGCGCGACGCGTCTGTATATAGGGTCACCCCAATTCGGTGTCAGTCCCGAACCACCAACTACCCTTTCGATTAACAATGGCCCGTACCAAGCAAACCGCTCGCAAGTCTACTGGTGGTAAGTCACTCTAGTTCCAGAACATAGAACTCGAACTCATCAGCTATCAGGCAAAGCCCCTCGTAAGCAATTGGCAGCCAAGTCTGCAGCCCGCAAGACCGCACAAGCAGTACGTATTGTCTTTTGAACTACTGGACTTTGCTCACAATACTTGCTCAGAGCACTGGTGGTGTCAAGAAGCCCCATCGTTTCCGTCCCGGTACCGTCGCTCTTCGTGAGATCCGTCGGTACCAGAAATCAACAGAGCTGCTCATCCGCAAGCTCCCCTTCCAACGACTTGTTCGTGAAATCGCACAGGACTTCAAGGTTAGTTCTATCTTGCATATAAACTACAGTCTTCTCATCGCTTTTGACAGACTGACCTGCGCTTCCAATCATCTGCTGTGATGGCTCTTCAAGAAGCTGCTGAAGCATACCTCGTCTCATTGTTCGAGGACACCAACTTGGCTGCTATCCACGCTAAGCGTGTTACTATTCAACCAAAAGATCTTGCTCTTGCACGGCGGCTTCGTGGCGAGCGTTCTTAGAGGGTTCTTATTGTTGTATTCTATTGTATCATCTATTTTTTCCTACTGCCGACTGGACATGCATTCTGCAATGACGAGCCGATTCCACATACCATAATACTTTCCGAAGTACTGAAAATTATGCCCTGCTGTTGAAACGTTGATCTAATGTTTATATTCTGCCTGTTCATGCTGACAATTTCTGGGCGCCAGGGATTCTGTCAGCCAATAGCAGTCCATGTCAGCCACCGAGCTCGGGCATACAAAAACTCGCTCTTCGCGCTCTCCCCTCCGTCATGTTCTTGTTCCCAACTTTGATTTGACTTCTTTTGCTTGCCACATATACTACCCCACATTCATTCATAATGCGCTCCTTTTTAACCCTCGCTCTCCTACTCCCAGCCGTGCTCGCAGCGCCTCTTAAATCTGCCATCCATCACCAACATGTAAGTCCCTAATCATCCATCAAAGCGTCCTGCTGATTCTATTCGCCCGCCCTGCTACTAGTCACCCTCCTGTGTCATCGCGGGCGTCGCTTATCCAGACCCTGGGCACTCCCTCGTCCTCCTCGACAGACAAGAACTTCGCCCTCCCACAGGACTCTCCGAGCGCGCTTTCACCGACTTCCTACTCTTCTGTCACGAATCCGGCGGTCGTTCATCTTCCAGCCGCCACGTCGCTCGTCAACAAGGCAGCTACTTGTCCGACGCTCTCGAGGATCCAGCAGAGAGCGATAGTATGCTTGACACAACCACTCCAGGAGGCACTCCAGCGTCCAGTGATCAGCAAGATCAGAGTGCTAGTTCTTCCACTGTTAGTCCTTCGACGACTCCTGCAACTACTACTTCATCTCCCTCATCTCCTTCAGAAAGTGCAGCTGGCCCCACGTCGACTGGCACGCCCGCCAATGCGGCGGAAAGCCCACCCTCTGGGAACACGGCTGCGATCAGCCCTCCAGAGAATGACGCGACGTCGTCCCGTGACAGGGACCCATCCGAGACGCAGCCAGCCCAGTCCGACTCGTCTGCGTTTGACACGCCCTTCGCCGCGATACCTCAAGGTGTAACCGCCGGCCTCTCCAGCCCTTCTATGGACAGCAGCGTATCCGACAGCTTTGGTGACGTATCTGGTAGTTTTAGCGACGCATTTGATGGCCTTGATGATCCACTGGTCGATGATGGAGGGGAACCTGTTTCTATGAATGTTCAAAGTGATGTATAGGCGACGATGAGACTTGTGATAGTGATGTACAACCTATTCTCTTTATTGATGGTTATACAAATCAACGTGGTTCAAACTGGGATTAGTTCATCGGAAGACTCGCTCACGAAGCTCACCTTGCCATTTGGTCTCGTCATTCTATCACACTGCAGATTGTCAAACCGCTGATTGACTCGATGTTATGTATCAACATGACGCAAAGCAATATTGAGAGATACAACTATATCATACTGATGCTAAATATACAATCCATGGTGTAGTGACATTGTCCTGTGGAGTCCGTTGTCAATAAACAAATGATCAGTAAGAGTCCCTGGCCGAGCACGCATCCATCCATTCCTATTTGATCCGAAATCATGCAAGACGTATCACATCCACACAGCACCAATAGCGACAGAAATACCACCCACAAGCGGTACCCATGGAACACCCCAACGGTGAGAAGCAGCATTACTTCCACCCCCCGTACCCGCTGTCGCACTAGCCGAGACTGAACCAATAGTAGGCGAAGGAGCAGCAGCATTAACCCCGTTCATAGCAAGCGCAGTATTCGAGAGCGCAGCAAAACCAACAGAAGCCGGACTGTATCGGAAAACCGAATAAACATTTTTCTACGATTGTTCCAAGTAAGCAAACTCTCCATTTAATACAGCAAGAAAGCAAGCTTACGAGGAAAGTATCGCCGACGATCCAATTTGGCGCACTGCCACTTGTGCTCAGTTCGAAAAAGGCACCAACGCATTGGGAGGAGCTGATCTTTGTGAGTTGGAAGTCGGCAGGGGAGATGGGCCAGCTGGGTCCGCCGAAGGAGATGGCGACGTTGACGGCGGTATTGCAGGGGTAGGTCCAGTATCCCTGCCAGCTGCCTGTGCCGGGCTGCGAACCTGGAATCTGTGCAAAGATGTTTTGGATGACGCTAGAGGGTCCGCCAACGAGGGTGGTCCCGGTATCGATGGCGGAGTAGGATGAAGAACCAGAGGGGATGGAGATGGAGCTTCCTTGGACGGTTAACGCTGGGAGGCAATCGATGTCAGGCTTCGCTGCAAAGCTGAACGACGGATGTGACTCACATGTCATCGGTAGAATCCAATAAGATGGCGTCGTTGGAATGGCCTGGTAATCGATGATGCCAGTGTAAAGGCTGCTATTGACAAAACCTAGCAATCGTCCGTCAACTTGTGAATAGACTCCGAGAAAAAACGAAATACCCATGGTGAACGATCCACCAGGTTCCACATCGTTGACATTCGAACCGTTGACGAATCGCGTGAGCTGAAACGCCATGAGCGGATCTGTCCAAGCCCCAGAGCTTGCCAAGGTCTGCCAGAGCGGTTCCGCTTTCGAAGTAGCTATGCTCTGCCATCCCAAGCCCAACAAGCCAGACACAGGTGGGCTCAGAAGGCCCGACGTCGCCTGCGTGACAACACCGAAAATCTGATTCGGAACAGAGAACCCAGCCATCTGTACGACGTCTTGGCTTAATGTACCTGTTGCAGCGCCAGAACCGTATTGGATGTTGAAGGGCTCAGAAAGGTTGTGGAAAGTAGATGAGCTTTGGTCATTGAATAACTGGACTTTGGAACAGCCGGTGGTACAGGCTTGATCTGCAACCCAGAGATCGCTAATTCGTGGACAATATTGAACACAGACGCTAAAATTTTTGTCAGGGGTAAATGACTCACGACGAGCCAGTGTCGAGGATGACATTAAAGGCGACCGGTGGAGTTCCTATGGCCACAGTTCCAAAATAACTGAAATGAAAGCGTTCGATGAGCTAATCAACGGCAGAGAATCCTGACCGACCTTGAATCCGCATTCTGGTTGGTCAACCTGTGAAGTGAGTGATCAGGGATGGTGAAATGGATATGCTAGAAGCCAGTTCTCACAAATTTGTTCCAGTACTCCTTTTTTCCATGTTTCCACCATACTTGGCAGTGAGGACCTCTCGCTCATTCTTAGCCCATACTTCCCAATCAGCAACGGTTCGTTCGGGCTGAGCTCTTCGGATGAGGGGGATAGACTGGCCAGCAGCCGGGACTAAATTTGGGGCAGCAGAAGCATTCGGTGAGATGATGAGGAGGCAAGACAGTGCGAGTGCCAACGAGGAAAACATTGCGAATACTGTGACCTGACTTGAAAGCGATGAAAACGGGAACTTAATAGATGATATATAGTACTGAACGAGGCAGTGGTGAGGGAAAAGAAAGAACGTGTTTAAAACGTGCTCGCACAGCGGGCACAACAGAGTGTCTTGGTACTGCGGATGATCGATGATTCGATAGCGGCTGGTTTCCAAGACATTTTAGTCAGCGGCTTGGTCTCATTGTTCTTGTTCTTTCACACCAGACCAACTGATCTCCTATAATACATAGCCTTTACCATTTTCAGATAGAATATGGTAGGGCAACGCAGCCTCTAGGGAGGCCCTCATATCGTCAATCTTACAGTCCTTTGCATAACCTCTAGGGAGGCCAACATCGTTGACTTCATCTGTGCAAGGCACCGAGGCCATCCCGGGGCAATTTGAATGATCCGACAAGTATGAGTTAAATTTGCACTCAACATGTCGAACGTGCTCGGTAATTAAGCATACTTCTGACAAGCCCAAATCACATAAGGTAAATCCAAAAGCCCGTCTACCCTGAACAACCGCCAAGTCCCCTTGGTCAACCATCTCTCAAGGAACTCCCTCACGACATCTTCTTGTCTCAGTTCAACGATCACCAATGCCCACGTCTTCCTGCGGTTGAGACAGTCTCAATTGTGTCAATGAGTGCGGGAAGAAGCGAAGGGTGGTAGATACAATCAACGACCAGGACGAGATCCCACTTGGCGTTGGGCTCAGGTGGCGTGGGGTAATAGCGTGACCGACCAGTTGGCGGCAATGACAGCAGTGTTTCCCAGTCTAGCTCTTCCACAGAGATATTCGATCCTGGTGATCCCTCTGGAGGCCTTATATTTTGCGTCCAACCTGCGAAATTAAGGGCGACATTTTTTTGGATAAGTGGGAGAAGGGGTGCGATGTCCG